GCGGGTCATGAGGGAGTATCAGAGGAGTCGCCAAAGCCCATCAGAAAACACAGTATTTTCTGTTGGTTTCTGTGTGGGATGTTTGGCCCAATTCTACCATTGGTGGGGTTCAGAATGCTCTTTGATTGTAGGTGAACTATAAATCCCAGCAACTACAACTCTCAAATGCCCCAAACTCCACCAGTATTCACATTTGGGCATATTGAATATTTGTGCAAACTTTGGTTCATGTCCATCATTGTCTGAGTCCAAAGTGCGCTCTGGATGTAGGTGCACTACAACTCCAAAACTCAAGGTCAATGCCCACCAAACTCTTCCAGTTTTTTCTGTTGGTCAGGAGAGTTCTGTGTGCCAAGATGGTTCAATTCCATCATTGGTGGAGTTCAGAATGCTCTTTGATTGTAGATGAACCAGATGAACCAGTAGATCCTAGCAACTACAACTTCCAAATGACAAAATCAACCCCCCTCCCAATCCCACCAGGATTCAAATTTGGGCCTATTGGGTATTTGTGCCATATTTGGTCCAGTGAATGAAAATACATCCTGCATATTTACATTACAATTCATAACAGTAGCAAGATTACAGTTATGAAGTAGCAATGAAAACAAAGTTATGGTTGGGGGTCACCACAACATGAGGAACTGTATTAAGGGGTCGCGGCATTAGGAAGGTTGAGAACCACTAGTCTAAGGGCAAGTTGGACATTACGTGAAAACAGAATCAGATTAAATTGCTTTTCAACCAAGTAACTTTCAGAAAGAAATCTTCTGCTATGCTATATAAATGGCAACCTAATAGATGTAAAATTATAAACTCAAAGTCTATTTACTCTGTTTACCTATGCTGTTACAAATCTGGGCAAGGTTTATCAAAATCTTTTCACCCATACCATGCTTTTTAAACTTTTAGGAAGCTTATAGATTCCAAATAACTTTTCACCCTTGTTGAAGTAAGACTTTACCGGTTTAGAGCATGGTAGATGCCTATCTAGCCCAGCATTTGTTTTCTATAGTGACTAATCAGAGACCTCTGGAAGTTCACTTCAGTCAGGACTTTATCATATGGTACTGCTAATGTAAAATTATGCTAGGATAAAAGTTCCTGTTGATAAGGCTTACCACACAACGTTGTGGCTGCTCTGTAGGCTCATTGCACTTGATTTGTGATGTCACTATCTCTTTTCATTGATAGAAATCCAGTATCACTCTTGTTTTGTTGTTCTTCTCTGTAAAGGAATCTCCTCCTTGCAATCCCTGTATGTGAAGTAGAATTATACATCTGTACAATTACAGCAAAATTGGGAGGGGATAAAGAAAAATAAAAAAAAACCACAGCATGCATGTACTGAATGCCAGTATTGTACAATTGTGCCAAGGTGTGAAAGGGATCATTCCAATAATGGTATGTTTCTGTTTGCTTAAACAATGTGATTATAATGAGATAATAAGTTGATGTGATAAAGTTGTAGGCCAATTACTTAGCAACTGGTATTTAGAGTCATTCTGCCTCTGATCCTGGAGGTAGCATGTAATCATTGATTATAATTTATTCTCCATGAATTTGTCCAGTTTTCTTTTAATGACATTTACATTGATAGTTAATCACACACCTTGCTGCAAAAGCATGCATAGATTAATTTAGCTTTGAGAATTCCCAGAACCTGCAATGAAGCATGTACTTGCTAGAAATTTATCAGCAAATAATCTATTAAAATATCTGGAACCTCCATGTTGTAATTCTCCACATAATCTTAGAATTTTAGAATATATGTGTCTGGGCCTTTATCTAGAAACAGATGCTGGATGTTCAACATTTCCCTGATAGATGCAGAACAGACGTAGGAGAAAACAAACACATTTTCCATTGAATTACAGATGGAAGTTCAAGTAAATGGTTGGATTGCTCAAATGAATGTTGTTGAAAAAGCTTGTTGTTGTTGTTCATTCATTCAGTCTCTTCCAACTCTTTGTGACCTCATGGACAAGCCCACACCAGAGCTCCCTGTCAGCTGTCTCAACCCCCAGCTCCTTCAAGGACAACCCAGTCACTTCAAGGATGCCATCCATCCATCTTGCCCTTGGTCTGCCCCTCTTCCTTTTTCCTTCCCTTTTCTCCAGCATAATTGTCTTCTCTAAGCTTTCCTATCTCCTCATTATGTGGCCAAAATACTTCATCTTTGCCTCTAATATCCTTCCCTCCAATGAGCAGTTGGGCTTTATTTCCTGAAGTATGGACTGGTTGGATCTTCTCGTGATCCAAGGCATTCTCAGAAGTTTCCTCCAACACCACAGTTCAAAAGCATCTATCTTCCTTCACTCAGCCTTCCCTATGGTCCAGCTCTCACATCCGTAGGTTACTACGGGGAATACCATTGCTTTTACTATGTGGATCTTAGTTGCCAGTGTGATGTCTCTACTCTTCATTATTTTATCAAGATTGGTCATTGCTCTCCTCCCAAGAAGTAAGGGTCTTCTGATTTCCTGGCTGTAGTCTGCTTCTGCAGTTATCTTTGCACCTAGAAATACAAAGTCTGTCACCGCCTCCATGTTTTCTTCCTCTAGTTGCCAGTTATCAATCAGACTGGTTGCCATAATCTTGTTTTTTTATGTTTAACTGCAACCCAGTTTTGGCACTTTCTTTCACCTTGATTAGAAGGCTCCACAGCTCCTCCTCGCTTTTGGCCATCAAAGTGATATCATCTGCATATCTAAGGTTGTTAATGTTTCTTCTGGCAATTTTTACCCCAGCCTTGCATTCATCAAGCTCCGCATATTGCATGATTGTTCTGCATACAAGTTGAATAAGTTGGGTGAGAGTATGCAACCCTGCTGTACACCTTTCTGAATCTGTTGTTCCATGGTCAGTTCTTACTGTTGCTACTTGGTCCTTATACTGATTACTCAGGAGAGAGATAAGGTGATTTGGTATGCTCATACCACCAAGAACTTGCCACAATTTATTATGATCCACACAGTCAAAGGCTTTAGAATAGTTAATAAAACAGAAATATCAAGTAAATCCAATAAGCATGAAACAAGTTTTGGGGGTTGCTCTTCGCAATCCCAAAACAAGAACTGTAAAGTGTTGCTTTATTGTACTTATCATGTGTGTTCCACACAACATGTCCATGCCAGCAATACACATCTTGAAAATGATTTTTTCAGTATTGCCTGGAGAATATTAATTTGTAACTTGGGAAGGAATTACAGTTGGAGGAAATGTTCCTGTTGTTTGCTGTATGCATTGCTATAATCCATGTTTATGAAAAAAAATCAGTTGTTGCTACTTTTTATAGAAGATTGAAAGACAATTTCCAGTCCAAACAAAAATATTTCTACCTAAAGGTCTTTATAAATGATACATAGTTTTCATGGTTTGGCTAAACAACATTCTTGTGGATGGGAGAGGGATCTGGCACTAAAACAATATTATTTTGGAAGCACAATACTCTAAAAAAGAAGGTACACCCATCCAGAATTTTGGAGCCAAAAATGAGCAATGACATTGAGAACTATATGACTGGCCAAAATTCTATACAGCATTATGAAATCTGAATGTTACTGACCCAATTCCATGCCCATCCTACCTCACGTCCACTATGAATTGGAAATGTTTTTCTAGGAAGTCCAAACCAGTAATAAATGCTCTAAGAGATCTTGCTTTTTTGCAATGGTTTGGGCAGGCACTTAGATCATGTTCCATCTATCTACAGAAACATGTCTGTATGAAAGAATGAAGTTGGTGTGACCTGGCTTCTCTGGATCAACAGATTTAATATTTATTTTATTTTATTTCACTTATGTACTGCTTGTCACTAGGACTCACAATTGTATAAAATATACCAACAAAACAGGTAAAATGAGATAAATATTAAAATTTTGAAACATTCCTCAACTTCTCATAATGTGGAGTAAAACTGGATTAGCTGGTTTTTTCCCCACATTATGGACATTAAGTCTCTGGATGTCATCTGGATTAAAATCAGTGTTTAAGGCCTGTGTAAACAAGACCATAGTGCAATACTCAAACTGTTGTACCTTGCTGGCTCATATTATATATGAGGTTCATCAGATGTTAAATATGTTTGTTTCCATAGTAACTTAAAGATAGATGGATGAGTTACATTTTTTTGTTTCAGTTTCTGCTGTCACAACACTTTGATCATAAAGTAATACTCCTTCTTCCCTTTGAACAGAACATGGTTGAAAAAAATGGCGTATGTTATCAGAAATCCATTACATATTAAATCAAGAAGAGATTTTGTCTATAGCAGTTTTAACTTTAATGATATTTTAGGGGTAAAAATGCATTTTATTGTATGGGGTTTAACCCTTATGGTTTGATAAACAATTAAGTGACAAATTACTATCCTCTGTCCATCCTCAATGGACATTTTGCTTCATTACAAGTAAAGACTTTTTGCATATATTTAAGTTTTCAATATTAATGTCAAAACTATGTGGTATAATTTTACATAGTATTTGTGCTACATTAGAACAAAGTCGAGCATAAGAAACCTTTTATATTGCTTGTCAAGTTTTTTATTCTTAAGTTCATTTGGAAAGATCCAATTTTATTCAGGTGAATCAACTGACTCCAAGCAAGTGTTTCAGAAAGTCATTTAATCTTGGAAAATATACAAGTTAGAAGTGTTGGGGAGTTTGTGGAGTTATGAAGATCTTGCACTGTTAGTATACACTTGAATTGGCAGATCTCTTGAAATGATAGGATGGTACTTATAGATATTTGTGGTGAATCAAACATTTTAAATGTAGCATTATTCTGTAAAAATGTATTTACTACAAATAGGTGTTCAGATATTTATGTGTGTGTGTGTGTGTGAGAGAGAGAGAGAGACTGTTAGAATTAGGAAATCATAACTGAATTCAATAACGTTACAATAAGGATAATTTAATTCCTTATTTATTGATTAATAATATTTTCTTACTGTTTTATATCTATAATAATGTCTTTATTTTTCTTTAAATTTTTTCAAGAGAGCACAATCAGATGAACTGGAAAAGATAGAAAAACATGGCAAGTCAAGTAAAGAAAAGGAGAATGCCAAGTCTTTGGATAAACCTGAACAGTAAGAATGTTGTGTACAGAGCATGTTGATTGCAGGAAGCTGAAATCATTACATTTGTTGGCTCAGGTTCTGGTTCTGGTTCAGCTGTAATGAATGTGGTCTGGATCAAACTAACTGATTCAGTAACTCGTTCAGTGTATGGTAACCATCTAATTTACTTCCAGTTCACATACAAGGAACATTATTCATAATGGTTTAAGAAAAACAATGGTATCCTTCTCAATACCCTGTTTCTTTCTATTAGATACATTGCAATAAGTGACACTGCTCTACCCTGAATACATTCCTGTTCTTGGGTTCTAACTGATCATTATTTCTGTTTTTCCTGTTTTTCTATAACTTTCTGTTCTCTGTTTTCCTACTCCAGTTTCAGATTAAGAATAATTTTTACTTCAAATATGTTTCTACTTTATTTTTCATTTGTATTGCATTCTCATTGCAATGAATGTGTAAAGTTCATTGAATGGAAACCAAATATGCTATATGCCTCCTTTCTTTTATTGTTGTTTCACATCACATAATTATATATTATTCCTCCTCTCTCCCTACATTTATATGTTGACCAAATCCAAATCACAAAGAGGAAGCAGGCCAGTTTCTGCTTAATGCTTCCCAGGCTCAGACCTTAGGAGTAGCCTGAACAAATCCAAAAACATATCAATTGCCCAAATGTGGTCATTCTGACTATGGGTTCTAGTAGGTCTGGGGAGTGCTACTGTTGACTGTTTTGTTGACTCATGAAATCCTTTCTACCAATCCCTGTCTGACAATTGAGTTTCCATTATTGTTTGCTGGGACTCAAACCCTTCAGAGGGCAAATCAGTTGACCAGTTCTGTTATCCTTTCTCTCTTTACTTTGGGACAATTGGATACTAGGAACAGTAAAAAAAAGGGTCTCATTACCACATATTACTGCCTACACCAAGTTTACATCCAAAACAATAACTCGGCAGTCATGATGTTGTGTTATTCCAAAGCAACACTCCAACAGGACCCTTGAAATGATGGACTATCATTATAAAAGCAATGTCCAGTAATTTTTTATATATATGTATGCATAATGGAAGCAATCCAAGCTGCCAGTAACTTCACCTTGTTGGATGAGGGGATGGTTTTGCTGCCTCAAAAATGGCGAAAGGGTTGCCATCTTTTCAGCTTTTTTTTTTTTTGGGAGGGGGGAGAGGGAACTTGGATTTCAAAGCTGCTAAGAATTTCGCCAAATATGTTGAGGGGTTTGTTTAACTGGTATTTTGCATTTCCCCTAAGTTCTTTCTGTTCTACTATAACAGAGATTTTCAGATAATCATTTGGGGAAAATAAAATTAAAACCTGAATCTGGTTCCATTTAATTCATTGGTTGACTGGGTATTAAAACATACTATACTACTTAGATCTGCTTTGTTGTGGAATGCTAGGTCAGTAGGGGTCTCAATAATAGATCTAAATAATATTTTCATTGACTTCTGCAGGTTTCTTTATGAATTATCCCTAATTCCCAACTTCTCAGAACGAGTCTTTTGTATCCTGTTCCAATCAACATTTTCTGAAAGCATTTCCTCCATCCGTAGCAAACTTGAATTGTTACAGAAACTGTGTGAGGTACGTTCTGGACCATCTGATGTGAGAGCTAGATTTGCTGATATTTAATCTTTCTTGCTCAGCAATACTCATATTTCAAAAGTTTTATATTTACTTTAAACACTCATTAAATGTGAAGGATAGCAGTCCTGCTAGATGGAACATTTTATGAATGTGCTTCAAGATCAAAGCAAGTCTTACGATTTGGCTTTCAGTGCTAAAATATAACATCATAAGTCTGTAGCCAATGCACATCAACCTCTCGAGAATAATGTACCTTCTTCCTGTGCCAAAGCAAAATCTACTGTCTTTGTAGTAGACATTGCTTCCTTTTTGTAATTTTCAAACAAAAGCTATTTGTTTTTGTTTTTTTCCCTCCACTGGGTGCCTTAATTTGGGGCAGCTACATTGCTGGTTTAATTGGTAATCAGTAATCTTAAGACAATGGGATAAATTAAGTAACAATGGCAAAACATGGCTTAAAGTAATCACATCTTAAAGTGTTCTTTTTCATTTTTTGTTCAGCAAATGACAATCATACTTAGAAATGTTTTTGAAAGGTTTATTATAAAACCTTTGTGATCATTTTGCATGGAGAACTATTTACTTATGTGTATCATGCATTCCAAATTGTTCTCTAGAAGTGAGACCTTCATGGCAGTGTTTTTCTGGTAAGGGAACACTAGCCTACGTTGAATGTTTGTTCCTAAACATCCTTAAAGTGAAAAATATTAAAGTACTGCCCACGCCTAGAATTAATATTTTTTATTTGTTTAGACATTTTCATTCTTGTTTGAAGCTTGACCTTCTGCTTCTCTGGATCCATTATCTCCCAGTTAAGAAATTCTTGCTTATTCTCTTTATTCAGGGACCATTTAATGAATGTTATCCTGCTAAAGTTCACCCTAACCGGTTACTATGAAATGTGGTAGAATGGGAGCATTTTTCATAAAAGCCATTACTTGCCAAAATTGCACCCCAGCAGGCCTTCACTGGGTGTTCTCTGTGAGGAGTGGTATTGTGTGAAGATATAATAGTCTGAGAAATGTGTCTTTCCGTATGCAAAGTGACAATAGAGTGGTGCATTCCCATTTTCTCACACCATGGGTACATGCTATAATGCACTTTTGAAATGTTATTTGGAAATCGCACCAAAGCTCTAACATCTATTTACTAGGCCTGTTTGATCAAGAAAAAATTTGTTTCTAAAATCGATTTGTAATTGGGGTGTTTTTT